TCGACGCTCTTCCGATCTGTTCTCGAGCCGGTAATAACACTTCTATATTGTTTGAATAGTTACAAAAAACAAATATTGCTCTATTATTCTCTCTCTCTCTCTCTCTCTCTATATATATATATATATATATACATATATATATATATATATATATCTTTAACATCAGGGAAAAAAGTAGTGATACATGTATATGAGTGCAGGTGTTTATTTGTTGGGGAACTTTGTTAAAACTATTGCTCTGTTCCAGGAGAATGGCTTCTCCATGGATGTGAAGCTGGGGAGAGGATGTCAGGAGTTATGACAGTGAACAAGATTTTCCTCCATTTCTCCTGCCAGTGGCTGTGATGGCAGCAGTGTTAGGGTGACTAGAAGAAAAATGGAATGGAATGCTCCTACTCCAGTGCAGAGAACCTTCTCAAGTGTTAGAAGAGGGAAATTCTGTAATACTGATATGGCACAGCCAAGTTTTTTGGTGGTTTTGGAACCTGGTTCTAGGGATTTTCAAGTGGGAAACAAGATCTGTCTGGTCACTCATTTTAGTTACTCTAGGTTCTTTTCTGTGGGATCTTCATAGAAATAGGTTCTCAGAGAGTTGATTAGTGGATATTTTTCTCACATGTGTAAGAAAGCGAGAGTACTTTTGTAATACAATTACTTATTTGATGTGGAGAGAGGTGTCTGGTAAAAGGGGACATGCTTTGAAGCCTAGGGACCTCTCTTTCATTAGCATTGAGGCTGTGGAATGAGCTAAAGTCTAGAAATCAAAAGAACTATGGGGAGTGGGAGGGATGGGGTGGCTGGGTGATAGACATTGGGGAGGGTATGTGCTATGGTGAGTGCTGTGAATTGTGTAAGACTGTTGAATCACAGACCTGTACCTCTAAAACAAATAATACATTATATGTTTTAAAAAAAAGAAGATAGCAGGAAGGGAAAAATGAAGGGGGGGAAATCGAAGGGGGGAGACAAACCATGAGAGACTATGGACTCTGAGAAACAAACTGCGGGTTCTAGAGAGGAGGAGGGTGGGGGGATGGGTTAGCCTGGTGATGGGTATTAAAGAGGGCACGTACTGAACGGAGCACCCAGTGCTCCGTGAATGAATGAATCATGGAACACTACATCAAAAACTAATGATGTAATGTATGGTAATTAACATAACAATAAAAATAAATAAAATTAGAAAAAATAAAAAAAAAAGAACTATGATCTCATTCTAGTTCTGCTAGTGATTAGCTGACTGACTTTAGGTAAAACTGTTTGCCCTTTCTGTGCCTCTGTTTCCTTACATGTATATGAAGATAGAACATAAGAAAGAAAGATTATGTCTTTCACTGCCTACATAAAATGATCACGATATTTGCTTTCATATAGGAGTTTATAAAAATAAGTAACATCTTAAAAAACAAGTAGCATCTTGCCGTTCTAGCAGCTAGATGGCACCACTGCCTCTAACATTTGTTTAATAATTTGAATTTAATTGCAGCTGGTGCTGAATATGCTGTACTTCTTTCCTTCCATGATGGCTTTTGTCAAAAGGTATGACTTATGGATTAAAGGGAATGTAGCTATGTTGCTGTGAGACATTATGGATCTCTTCATAGAAGGTTCATCATAGATCAACCTGAAGTCAGAAAACCAAAAGCCAACCTTTTATAAGGGATAGAATCACTATATTGTAATCATTCCTTGGGTCTTAGTTGTCCTAGTTTCATCAGAGTTCTTTCTATGCACCCCAAATGACATGCTGACAGGCCTAGCCTGAGAGCGCGTAGTTATGTGAGGAGGGTTGTATTTATTTAGGAAGGTTCTGTCTTTACCACATCTCCAGATCCAGGGGAAGAGACCTGCAGTTACAAGCTATGCTTTGTTGATTGTTGAGTCATAGATTTTAGCAATCCCTGAGCAAGCCAACTTCTGCATTTTACAATCCAGTACATGAGGCCCCGGGGAGATTAAGTGATTTGTTCAATTTTACCACCAAAATAGTCTTCAGACTCCCATCCCTTGTTTTTCTACTGTTTGTTTTGTTTTAATAAACTTAGATGGTCTGCCTTGGGTATCAAAACTAAAAGAGAATTTGCAGGATCACTTTGCATTTACCAAATAGCTAACTAACCAACCAACCAACCAAACAAGCAAATAAAATAGAATCCCATAAGCAGGATGGAATATTTAGACTAGTGTGAACTCCCTTTTCACCATTAAGCTCTAGAGCAAGGGTGCATTGGGCAACTGGACAATCGTGTGTAATCAAACTCTCTGTAAATGAAGTTCTTCATTTCTTAAAAATGGATTTAAGTGATATTTTGCCTGTCTTACAATATTGCACTGAAAAAAAATATGTGAAAATTAAGTAGAAAATGGAGTAAAAATCTGGTTTTCTAAAACAATTTTATAGAAATCCAGCTTACTCATCGTTTTTTTCTGTCAAAAAAAGTTAATTTTTCTTCTTCTAAATTTATGTCTCGGTTATTTATAATTTTTTTTCCATTTGCAAGATGCCAGAACATACTTAACAGAGAGCTGTGTACCTCCTCACCTTGCCCTTTGTTCACTTAAACAAGAAAGAGTTGTGCATTCAGCTTTGTCTATTTCCTGAGATGCCTGCACAAAAATTATGGAAGTAATGATATGGCAACATAACGCTAATTTCTTTGGTTTTTCTTTCTTCAAATGTTTAGTTATTGAATTGTGAGTTCCAGGGGGTCACTAAGATGTGCTTGAAAGACTGTAAGAGTTTTATTGGATAGCACATTATACAATAGTCATATTTTTCCTTTTCTTTCTTCAAATCTGTCCCTTTCAAAATAAAAATAAATATTTAGCAGTTTATATATTCTCTTTTATGGTTTTATTGGTAAACCTTTTTTCCTGTGTATCATTGTTGTGACTGTAAGTCACTTTACCTAAACTCTGAGACAGAATGGTGAATAGTTTTAGGAAGTGATGATGATAGTAATTTGATATTCTGTGAGTAGTGTTCCTGGTCTGTTTGAAACATTTAAAATGGAGAAAATAAATTGAAGAAACTTTGCATGATAATAGTTATATTTCTAATGTGTGTTGACTATGAAAATATATAATGACAAAAAAAAACTCTAAATTCAGTTGCACTCTTTACTTGAGTGAGTAGTTTATTAGTCATAAAACATACACATATATTTGAAAAATAGAAGCACTTTTTTTTAAAAGATTATTTATTTATTTATTTATTTGAGAGAGAGAATGAGACAGAGAGAGAGCATGAGAGGGGAGAGGGTCAGAGGGAGAAGCAGACTCCCTGCTGAGCAGGGAGCCTGATGTGGGACTTGATCCCGGGACTCCAGGATCATGACCTGAGCCGAAGGCAGTCGCTTAACCAACTGAGCCACCCAGGCGCCCCAATAGAAGCACTTCTATGAGCACAATATATTATGTATTCAATTAAGAGATAGTACTACCTGCACTTAGGGATTTAGATGCAGTTTCTCTGGAGTTTCCCCCAAATTGTAAGTTGGGAGCCATTGTTGTAGGATATCTACAAGTGAATGGGATTGTAAAGATTTATATTCAGCAGCAGTTAAAGTACATTTGGAGCTTAATATGTTCTGGGAACTAAATAAGATTGCTTTACATGTATTAACTAACTTATTCCTCACAGTAGCCCTGTAAGGTTGGTATTAACATTGTCCCCATTTTATAAATGTAGAGAGAAACTGAGAGGGTTTAAGTCATTTTTTTAAGGTCACATAGCTAATAAGTGGCAGATCTGAGATCTGAGCCCTAGTAGAAGGAACTCCAGAGCTTGACACTAACCATAACACTTCACTAAATTAGAATGTTTTTCAGTTTAGAGTTTAATGTTTTATACCTATAGATAATTCTGATTCTTATGCCTTTATTAAATACACAATCAGGTAAACTGAGATAGACTACCAATTTAAAGCTACTGGAACAAAAATGTATTTTAATGAAAACACAAAGTCAACATAATATTACCTGGAAGAGATTTTAGAGATCATCCAATACAGTGGTTCTCAAGTAGAGTAGGGAGCTGTTTGGGTGAATATTAAAATTCAGAATCCAAGACCACCACAGACATACTAAATCTGTATCTTTTGAGGACAGATGAACTTAGACATGTTTGTTTTCAAAGATGTCCCAGATGAGTTTAATGTATACCCCTGATTAAGAACTACTGGTCTAATTCACCTTCCTCATTTTGTTTTTGAAGAATTTGAAGTCCAGAAGGAGAGCAAGTTATTTCCACACAAGATCTAATATTAAAATCTTTGCCATCATCAACATAAACATATGTGTGTGTGTGTTTTTCTTTTTTTCAGAGATCTATAGAGATAAAAGACCATTTGAGTATTTTGCAGGCTAAAGAGGGAGAGAGGATTTAGGCACAAAAACCATAAATAACAAAAAATACATATGTTGGAAAATAAAATGGAAAAATGACTTAATGGCAGAAAGAAAAGAGGTTTAGTGGACAGAGACATCTCTAAGGCTTCAGAGTGGAGGTGGGTCTTGAAAGAAGAGTAGAACTTAGTGAAGTAGAGAGGAGGAGTGGGAAGCTTTCTAGGTAGGAGAAGTAGTGTGATAAAAAGACAGAGAGGCAGAAAAATGAACAGAAATTTGGGATAAATGAACAGACCATTCTGGCTAAGGTGAATGGTTTTTTTGTGGGGACAAGTAGAAGAGCAGTCAGAGACGTGGCTGGGGGCTAAATGGTGGCCTTGTGAATTAGACTAAGAAGTTTGCACTTTTTCCTATAGGAAGAAGAAAACCATTGAAAATTTTAGGTGGATGATGGATGAAAATGGTATTTACAAGTCCAGTGACTGAGTTTAAGGGTAGAGAATCACCTAATGACTTTGGGCCCACCCTATGGAGGTAGAACTGGTTTGCAATTAAGAGTTGTAATGGCAGGTGTAGCTTACCTGGTAGAATTTTACTGCCTTTATTGTTTCCAGACATAAACTATGATAGCACATAAGCAAGGAGAGTCCTGTTTAGGACTCTCAAAACAGTGCTCTAGACTGCTTTCCATGGTGGAACTTCTAGTATTTGTTTTAAAATACGATACCTAAGAATAAACCTAACCAAAGAAGCAAAGGATCTGTACTCAGAAAACTATAGAATAATCATAAGAAATTGAGGAAGACACAAAGAAATGGAAAAATGTTCCATGCTCATGGATTAGAAGAACAGATATTGTTAAAATGTCTATGCTACCTAAAACAATCTACACATTCAATGCAATTCCTATCAAAATACCATCAACTTTTTTCACAGAACTGGAACAAATAATCCAAAAATTTGTATGGAACCAGACAAGACCCCGAATAGCCAAGGTAATGTTGAAAAAGAAAACCAAAACTGGTGGCATCAAAATTCTGGACTTTAAGCTATATTACAAAGCTGTAATCATCAAGACAGTATGGTACTGGCACAAAAACAGACACATAGATCAATGGAACAGAATAGAGAGCCCAGAAATGGACCCTCAACTCTATGGTCAACTCATCTTCGACAAAGCAGGAAAGAATATCCAATGGAAAAAAGACAGTCTCTTCAACAAATGGTGTTGGGAAAATTGGACAGTCACATACAGAAGAATGAAACTGGACCACTTTCTTACACCATACACAAAAATAAACTCCAAATGGATGAAAGACCTAAATGTGAGACAGGGATCCATCAAAATCCTAGAGGAGAACAAAGGCAGCAAATTCTTTGACCTTGGCTGCAGCAACTTCTCACTAGACATGTCTTCAAAGGCAAGGGAAACAAAAGTAAAAATGAGCTATTGGAACTTCATCAAGATACAAACTTTTGCACAGCAAAGGAAACAGTCGACAAAACTAAAAGACAACCTACGGAATGGGAGAAGACATTTGCAAATGTCTTATCAGATAAAGGGCTAGTATCCAAAATATATAAAGATCTTATCAAACCCAGTGCCCAAAAAATCAAATAATTAAGTCAAGTAATGGGTAGAGGACATGAACAGACATTTCTCCAAGGAAGACATACAAATGGCCAACAGACACATGAATAAATGCTCCACATCACTTGGCATCAGAGAAATACAAATCAAAACCACAATGAGATACCACCTCACACCCGTCAGAATGGCTAAAATTAACAAGTCAGGAAATGACAGATGTTGGCAAGGATGTGGAGAAAGAGGAACCCTCCTACGCTGTTGGTGGGCATGCAAACTGGTGTAACCCTCTGGAAAACAGTATGAAGGTTCCTCAAAAAGTTGAAAATAGGGCACCTGGGTGGCTCAGTCCGTTAAGCGTCTGTCTTTGGCTCAGGTCATGATCCTAGGGTCCTGGGATCGAGTCCCACATCGGGCTCCCTGCTCAGCAGGGAACCTGCTTCTCCCTCTCTTCCCTGCTTGTGCTCTCTGTCGTTATCTCTGTCTCTCTCAAATAAACAAATAAAATCTTAAAAAAAAAGTTGAAAATAGAGCTACCCTACAACCAAGCAATCGCACTACTGGGTATATACCCCAAAGATACAAATGTAGTGATCCGAAGGGGCACCTGCACCTCGATGTTTATAGCTACAATGTCCACAGTAGCCAAACTATGGGAAGAGCCCAGATGTCCATCGACAGACGAATGGATAAAGAAGATGTGATACACACACACACACACACACACACACACACACACACAGAGAGAGAGAGAGAGAGAGAGAGAGAGAGAAAGAGAGAAATATTATGCAGCCACCAAAAAATGAAATCTTGCCATTTGCAGCAATGTAGATGGAACTAGAGGGTAGTATGCTAAGCGAAATAAGTCAATTGGAGAAAGACAATTATCATATGATCTGACTGATATGTGGAATTTAAGAAACAAGGCAGAGGATCATAGGGGAAGAGAGGAAAAAATGAAACAAGATGAAACCAGAGAGGGAAATAACTGAGGGTTGCTGGAGGGGAGGGGGTGGGGGGATAGGGAAACTGGGTGATGGACAGTGGGGAGGGTATGTGTTGTAATGAGCAGTGGGTATTATATAAGACTGATGAATCACAAACCTGTACCCCGAAACAAATAATACATTATATGTTAATTAAATAAAAATAAATAAATAAATTTCAATAAAAGTTGAAGAGACAGAATTTAGTCTGAGGTTTTTAAAATTTGCTTACTACTATCTTGTTCTTACTTTAGCCAAGTATGCCTAGTTTTATATGGAGCTGAGGACTTTTCATAAGATTTCAGTCAATGTTGATACTGAATTTGGCTCAGAAAGAGAAGTAAACTAAAAGACCATAGTAATTCTTCAAGAAGAATTTATTTATTTATTTTTGTTCACCTTTGTGGAATTTTAAAGTTAAACTTTTATTCTGAAATAATTGTAGATCCATATGCAGTAGTTGCAAATAATATAGGGAGATCTTATGTACTTTTTACCCCATTCCCCTCAATGGTAACATCTTAGAAAACTAGCATTCAGTATCACAATCAGGATATTGACACTGATACAGTGAAGACATAGAACATTACCATCACCATAAAATTTTCTGATGTTGTCCTTTTTAATAGCCATATAATAGCCATATCTTCCTGCCCTTTACGTGTCCTTAACCTCTGGCAACCACTAATCTGTTCTCCATTTCTATAATTTTGTTATATATCTAATGTTCTGTAAGTGGAATAATACAGTTTATAACATTTAGAGATCAGCTTTTTTTTTCACTCAGCATAATTCTCTGGACATATGCCCAGCTTGTTGCATTTATCAATAATTTGTTCCTTTTTATTATATCCTACGGTGTTTTTGAGTGTATCTCTTTGTTTAGCTTTTTTAATAATTTAGATATTATATTACATATACATTGGTCATCACAGTCTACTGGTGCCATCATTTTACCAGTTTGAATGAAGTGTAGAAACCTTACCTCCTTCATTTACAATATAGTTACCTTCCCTCATTTGCAG